ATATTTAAAAAACTAAATAGCAATGTGTCTTTCCAGAAATCATGACCTGGTTACTTAAAGAGAATCCACAGACCTTGTTGTGAGCAGTTTCATGTAGGAACAACTTTCTTTCTACAGAACTACACCCCCACCCGTACCACCAAGCAGAAGGGAGCGAGCAGCTAGTCATGGACAAGAGGCTCATGCACATGACAGCATGAGATGTAAACATTAATGGCGTCAGTAGAAAGAAAATACTTCCTACATGAAACTGCTCACAACAAGGTCTGTGGATTAAACTCAAGTTCTGAAATGTCAAAAAATCCTTTATTTTAAAACAGAACACTGGCCCATCAGTGTCACTGAGTAGAGATATAATGGATATGAAGGTGTTTTATTAATTACACGTTGTATAATTGAATCAGTATCAATGGTAGCCTGCTAAGACTCATGATCTTCAAAGAGTTTTAGAGGCTTTTCCACCCAAGGAGGAATTACGCTCCACTGGAAAGTTGACTAGCACAAAACAATCACATTTAAACCCAGTGGCTATTTGGCACAAATCCCGGTTTTTACAACCTCAGTCAAAGAACACTGGTTTTGGCCTGCAGCTAAGGAGACTGGTTACTGTGAAAATTGTCATCCTATTGTGGTGACAACTACTGTCAGGCTCCACATTGTAATATCATGCAGGTCTCTCAGCCAGACATGCCCTTCTCCTTTTAAATTTTAGTATGATAATTTTCTTACTTATCATACTGCATGTTTAAAAAGTGAGGGGAAAACCTAGTTGCATTCCTCAGTCAAACAAAAGGTTGCTAAAATCCCCAAGCTAGCTCCTGTACCTATTTTTGTCCTTGTGCTGCTGCAACATCCGAACTTCAAGATATAAATAAAAGTTCATATCTTATCTAATCTTAGCAACTTGCACCTGCAGTTATGGTTTCCATTATTTCTATTAAAAAAAGAATATGCCTAAAAAATGCCGAAGACGCAGAGTATGGAGGAATTCTGTAAACGTTACTTGCCTCTCAGTCTTTAACTGCTAAAAAGAAACACGTGCAGAAATGCGTACCAAGAATTTATGGGAAAAGGTCTATTCAGAGACCAAGAGACCAAGCACTAAACCACAAACAGACAAGAACAGGCCCCATACCACTGAGGGCTATTTTTGCACAGTGTATCTCCGAATTACCAACACATAGACGAACACAGAGTTAACACCTTTCCAAAAGTTATCTCAAGTGTGTACAAATCTTACCTTGAGAATTTCCACACAGTATTTTGCCCATTTCTTCTTAATTACAATCAACTGATAATTTCAGTGTCTCAAAACCACTAGTCATTTCTGTGATGTAAGCCAGCAAGCTGTGCTTTAGATTTGTGGAGTCAAGAGGGGACAACAAGACAAAGAAAGAGCAGATGACTGAATCTTTGCTCCAGAGTAGGTGTGGCTGAGGGCAATCCTGGCTATGCCCAGCTGCAGCCCCTGTGTGTGGCAGCTGCTGCTGAGCTCTGCTTCATCACTTCCAAATGGCCAGAAAGATGACAGGTGTAACGGGTTTAGGTCTTGTGTAACAGCCTCAGCTCCTCATAGAGCATAATGTCATAGTCCTAACATGTCAGTTCAGCATGTTGCAACTAGACTCACATCACTGATGAAAAGGATTTAAGGGTGCAGCTCATGTTCCCACACTTCTGTACTTTATATCAAGTCAAGTCAGGTGACAACTACTGCTCTGTAAAGTTCACACAGACAACTTGGCCAGTGCTGACATGTACAGTAAAACAATCATGACACCCCACTAGACAGCTAGCCGACGTTAGCTTACTTGCTAGTCAAATCACAGCCCAGACACTGCCTGTTTCTACCTAGACACAACGTCGTACCAAACGCCGTTCAAAATTTGCTAATTTAATGACTTTGCTTACTATGAGAGCACTTGTACGATGTAATGAAGGCATACTTTAAACGAATTGGTACACGAAACTCATCGGCTTCATCTGCAAACATAACCACCAGCATTTCTTCTAATAGCTCAAGTGTCAGTTTCTAAAATTAACACCTAACACATCAGGATAAGCTCGAGCTGCTTCCTGTCGCCCACAAATGCTATTTTGATTTAGGAACATCATTGACAGGCAAATTAACTGGACACGCCTCATCTTTATAGAAGTGAAACGCTGCTGAGAGGATAACATGCTTATATACTGTTAGCAAGATATGTGCTATAACCTAACAACACTCGAGGTTACATTAAATTGGCAACAATATGAACAGAATGCTGCGTGGCTTTATAACATGAGCGGAGGGTGAATTATGCTAGCTTGTCTGCCGTTGACGCTAGCTAGCTAACCCATGTTTGGCCATCCTTTATTGGTATAAAAAAAAACACAACTTCTTTCATGTTGTAGCTACTCACCGGGTCTCTGTCAGGGATGTTTACTTTGAGGTGACATATATTTCCATGTCGCTGTCCGCCGCCAACGTTGACATGGCTTGTTTTAGCACAAACAAGTATTTACTATATCGGATGGTTTTGCTGCACACAGCCATGACAACACGCCCATGCATTACGTCACAACGAATGCTGCCTTCATGTGCTCCTCGTACTAAACACAACAAATCCTGGATTCAACTGCCTTTATAGTTTCATTGACTTCAACTAGGTTTGATTTCAAGTCACCAGCTGCAGAAAAAAGTGTCTTCTCAGGTGGAGGTGCTTATGATTCGCTGATTTTTTTAATCAAATAAAATAAACGGTGTTTTGGGGGTAAATAGAAGCAGATTTATATTGCACGTGCATTTTCAGTGCAATACAAACGCAAAATGAAAGCAGCACAACACATTCTTCGTGGAAATATTTATCTAAAATAGTCCATAAGTCGTGAGCAGTTGCAAATAAGTATGTAACACCTCTTAATGATGCCGAGCAACAGAGGGAATCGGACGTGTTAAACAGCAGCCAGGAACCTGCCGGTGATTAACCTGTACCTAAAACACATCACCAAACAACATGATCAAAATCAGAATCATAATTGGAAATATATCCTGGTCTTGCAACAACCAGATTAGTGACCACATGATTTGCAGACCAACAACACAGATACATATAAAACAATCAAAACAACATCATCAAAAAATAGGCTAAATACTAGCAATAAAATAAAAAAGGAAGGAAAAATGAATCATGTTTTGTTCTTGAAGCAACCAGATAAGTGACCACTTTGCACACTAAAATTAAGAAACTGAATGTATGGTCATATGCAAACTCAAAGTGTCTAGCTACGGGAGACCTCTCATCCCTATTTCTGATGCTACTCTTAAGCTCACATATCATAATTCTCAATTCCCTTTCAGTATTACCCACATAGAAAAATCCACAAGGACATCTCAGGAGTTGAACCCCACATGTGGTCCAACACATGCATCTACAACTGATTTTATTTTTTCATTTTAATTATTTATTTTTTTGCATGTGTCAAGATGTGAAATGGTCCCCTTTGATCATGGCATTACAATGCACACAGTTTCAACTAGTACATTTCTCAGGGAGAGAGAGCTTTAAAAATGTGTAGGCCTTCATTCCACAGCTCTCTGCTGATGACAGATGCAATTTCATATGTACAATTTGATTTCTCTTCTTACTCTGCAGCATACTTGGAAGGCTACAAACAGAGGCAGCATACTCACTATGAATTACTGCATTAATGAGCACTTAAGTATAAGCACGTAAAGATAACCATGTCAACAATAACCGCTGTATATTATCCCCAAAACAATTCCTTAATAGACTGGACTCCATATACGATATAACTTGTGCTCTAGTATACAGGAATATAGTAGGTTATAAGTTGTAATTAACTGTAATTAATTATTAATTTGCAATTTGCAAATGTGAAATTTAAAAACCTACAAAAATCAAACAAGAAAACAAAATGACCTGTAACCTATTCAGTAGAGTTGTCTTTTTACGGGAGGACGTATATAAAAACTGCATGAAAACGCATCACAGTTCCCCACATCATCACCTGCAGTCAGGTCTTTGTCGGGCCCCTGGTGGCTGTGGGGCCTTCAACAGTCAGCCGTTCAGTTGTCTCTCATGCCTCAGGCCTGATTCTGTCTTCCATTTCTCATCATGTTAAATGAACTCCAGGTGTTACATTATTGTCTGCAAGGAGTCACAGGGTCAAACAGCTAAATGACTGTTCATAGCAGCCACAGCTACAATTACATTTCAGATAATGATCATGTTATTAATATATGTATATTCTAAAACACAGACAAAGACTGATGTGAACTTGTTTATTAGAATTTTAATTAACTATGTACAATATTTACAACATGGGAGTGGCAATTTCTGATTTCCAACTCAGCCGCCCCACGTGTCTTAGGGCTATGGGTGGAGACATGAGCACCCACACAGATGCGGTGAGATGTAGGTAATTATTAAAATGAAGCCTCTCAACAGAAGCTTATTAAAGTATTGGAGACCAAATGTAGGCCCAGCACTGTAAACAATGGTGATTTTCCAAAGGCAGTGAATGAGTGAAGGAGGATGAGTGGGACACACTGCACGGATTCTATGCAAAGTAATAAATTATTAAATCAAAGTTACACACTGAAATGTCAGATAAGGATATGGCTTCTTTACTTTTTGCTTCATTTCAAAACAAGTTTCCTCAGAAGGTGTTACGTGTATTAGGGCGTTTCTAAGAGACAGCAGGATGAAATAAACAATCATATACTGTATATTACAAGGGAGTAACATGGTCTTACTTGTGCTCTACAGTTGTGGTGTGTAGCTTAATAAAATTAATACAAATGTATGAACTGATTTAATAATACAAGTTTTAATTTAACAAATAATTAGCCCTGACAGTTAAACTAATGGTTCTAACACCACAAATAAGGCATTTAACAGGAATTACACAGAGCCTGCAAAGGTGTCTGTGCAGTTAGCTGAATGGTTGTCCAATACTGCCCCCTGCTGACAAAAACCATGCTACATGAATCCAGAGTTTGTGAAAGTACTTTTTAATGCAGATTGATCCATTGAAAAAATGTCCTCTTACATTATGGGCTACTTCATCAATGTTGAGTCAAATAAAAAGTCTTCCTTTGATTGAAAAACAACAGGAAAAAAGGGAGATGGCAAGTTGTGTGTCAAGTCACAGGTGGAATGTAACAAAGAAATAAAATCCTATTCCTGTTGCCTGTGTAAATGAATATGCAGGTCTGTGGTTGTGGTTGTAGCTTGATGACTCAGTGAAACTAGGGCCTACATTTTAACATAATTTCTTTTTCATAAGGTCCACAAATGCATTTAATAATCCATCTGACCTGTCTGACAGCCATTACACTTTTTACAGTGTAATTCAAAAACGCTGTCCTTTAATCTTATGTCAAATTGCTCACTTGCATGTGATATTTGTTCAGGCGGCACGAAAAGTTAACTTTGACCCAAAGGAACACATGGGACATCAACGTCAGTGAGTTTTATTATCCAATGAAATACTATTTGGCTCTCCAAAGAAAAAAAAGAAATCACAATGGACAAATTAACAGCATGTACCTTGCACAGAAGAAAATGTTGAGAATATGACAACAATGGTTTGATGTTTTTAGGTATCAGTGTTGTGTTGTGTCTTTAAGAACAACAAATATGGCAACTGTAGGTTTAGTGTCCGTCATTAGATGATGAAAATGTTGCCTACCTCTACAAAATGACACCAACACTTCTTTTACCAACACATTACAGCAGGCTTAATACTGAAAAAATACACCTGATTACGCCTTCAGTGTCACAGAGGAGGACCTAAACTAAATCTCTGTTTGACATATAAATATGACAATAAATTAAAGCCAATGAAAGCCCTCAGGTTGCTTCGTACAAATACAAAGAGGTACATAAAACTAGTCTGTATTAAAAGAACAAAATTTGAAATATCAAACCTAATTAATCACAATGATGGCAAGCTGCCAGGAGGTGCCAGAATTATCCCAAACACGTAGAAAAGTCCCATCAGGAGGTTTAGCTTGGCCGTCTTCTGGGGGATCTTGGCGTAGCATCGGCTGCGGAACTGCTTCTCCAGGGGGAAGGCCATGGGCAGTGTGAGCAGAGGCAGCGCCATGCTGATGGTGTAACGGGTGGCGAGGATGCAGAAGAGCACGTAGGGGACGAATAGCAGGAGGTTGTAGAGGACGTAGGACAGCGTGGGGCCTATGAGGATGGCCAGGGTGACGATGCCCGCCTGCTTGTCAGAGTCCATGTCTCTGGTGTTGTTGCTGTGGAGGATAGCTTCCGTGTTGAGGGCCAGCGGGACGGCGTACACCAGAGGGAGTGCAGACAGGTAGCCAACCTGCACCGCGTGGGAAAACATGACCGCCAGTGGGCCGAATGTGATGAGGATTACCACGTCTCCCAGGGCCACGTATTTGAGGCCGATGCCTGGGAAAAGAGTGAACAGGAGCCACATTTAATCTTTGAATAACTGTGGTGTTATCAAATCCCAAAAGTACAAATGTATAGCAGCATGTTTTCACCTTCTCATTCATACTGTCTGGTTCCATATGTGCATATCAGGGAAGTCAACTGTAGTATGGATCAAGCATAGAAAACACTGGATCCTACATGTCTCATAATGCATCAAGTACCTTTTCATTTGGCCTGGTAAACTTTCAAACTCCTCTCCCTCAGGTTGTAACACAGGTTTTATATATTATATTTGTAGTCTAAAAGACAAACTACATAGAAATTAATGCATGTAACTCATTGGTTTGTGGACTCCTGTTTTGAAGCATCAAGTCTGGCATTTTGGCTGTTGCCATGTTGGTTTTTTGGAGCCAGAGGCGACCTGAAGTGACCGTATTTGGACGAGAGGGTGGAGCTGGAGAGGAGCAAGGTGTGGATCTGACTGAGAGCCTGAGGTGACACCGCCTGTAGCAGCCAGCCTGTCACTCAGAGCTGCCACACCCTTAATAATGTGTGCCTGTAAGCTTTAATAAAACGTGAATAAGCGAGTTATACAAAAATCTACCCCCCTACAGTTGTCATGAACAGGGAAAGTAGCTATAGAGACCAAAACTGTGTAGCAGCAGGCTGCACTCATGTTTATTTCTGGCGTAATGTTGGGCATTACAACATGGGGGTCTATGGGGATTGACTCACTTCTGGATCCTGCCTCAAGTGGCCCTCAAGGACCTGCAGTTTTTGGCACTCCTCATGTTGGCTTCATTTTTCCGTCCCAGAGATTGCAGCTTGCTTAAAGCTGAAGCTGAGATGACCTTCATGGCATCCATAGGGTTATTTTCTCAGACTTAACTATTTTCACAAGATGAGTAGCACCAGTAAAACTGTCCTTTATGTGTATCTGTGACAGTAGATTTCCCCTCACTGTACTTTTCTTTATCTACATGAGGAAAACACTTTTAAGTAAATACACACCAAAACAATATTGGGCTGAATCACAAAGTGTGGCTGTGACAAAAAAAGAACATCCCATCATTTAAACATGTTGCAGGATTCTCCCTGTTTTGCTAAATGAGATTCTGATGGAAGATGTGCACTGAACACTTGGCCATTCATAGGGAGTGATGAATCGACGTTCATTCAGAAATGTAACACATCAGTGTCATGTTTGAAAAACACACTGACTGCCTTAAAGTGACAGTTCACCCAAACCCTAACATAAGGCGCGTGTAGCTCAGCTGGTAGGGTTGGTGATTAAACACAACGGAACAGTTGATGCTGACATCTGCTAAATGCACAATAAACATTTCTCAAATACTAAACCTTGAAACATAGAACCCAAACTTGTGCATGGATAAATAAGTGATTTTTTTTTAATATTTGGAGTCAGTGGACCATTCTCTGTCCAATAAAACAAGTTCATCGGTGTTTGTTTTTCTGACCTCTGGTAACCACATGTGACAGCAACAACTTTCCTGGCATCATAAGCAAGTTGCTATTTTACAATCAATAACCTTTTGGACCTGACGCTACTAACATGCAGTTGTGCCTAGTGTGGTTTAAAGAAGCTGGATGTGACATTCAGAGCATTGATATGAGACCATATATGAGCCACCAATAACGTCACGCTCCTTCTGTCTTCTTTGTTGTCATAGACCATCCAGCCAAGTGTCCGTGTTGTTGCATGTGAGCCCCTGAATGCGTTTCCCACTGGCTAGCTAATCGCTGCCCCTCTGCACTGTGATTACTGATTATGCTGCTGACTTCCTGACCCACCGTGGCAAGATGGTGTTGTTGTGGAAGTGTAACGTCCCCACTCCAGTCTCCTTTAAACATAAGGTGTGTGTGTGTGTGTGTGTGTTTGCTTTTAATGACTGGGGCCGCAGATGATGAAGTGAGGCAGCAATCCAAGAGATTCACGTTAATATTTTACTCACCTCCAGTGTATAAAAAAGAGCTGGACAGTCCCCCGAAGTAAATAAGAGCTAGGTGCTCCAGTCTAAGTGTAGACAGGAAATAGAGCAGAGTGGCACACAAGCACCCCAAAGAATATAACAACGCTCCAAACATGACAACATCCTGCGGTGCCAGGATTTCATCCACCAGAGTCCTATCGTCGCTCTTCTTGTGGTCAATCCCTTTGGAGAAGTCATAGTAGGTGTTTACGAGGTTGCCCGCCCCGTGGACTAAAAGGACCGTCACCGCACACACCATCAGGATGACCAAGTCCACGGAGCCCTCCAGTTTGTACGCCAAGGCGCTGCCGAGGGCCACGGGTGTGAGCGAGGCACTGAAGCTCCACGGTCTCAGTGCGAGCACGTAGGCCGCACACTTTTGCCTCACATCTGAAGCAACGCGGGCCATCCTCGACCTGTGGTTTGTGCCTGGAGGATGACTGACCAAGTTATTCAGGCTAGTCTGCCATTGTTGGCCATTGTGACCGTTTGATCCAGCCAATATTAATGTTTCTGCCCTGCTTTGTTTCTGCTCATTGGCCATTCCTCTGCAAGGGGTGTAGAGTACCAGCAAAGTTCCCAAATGTCAGTCTGGTGTTCCTGTAATATTAAAAACATAAAAAAAACATTACAAGACAGTTGACGGTGCAAAAAAACAACAACACAGCTTTGACAAGAAATTTTAACAGTTCTCTTGTATAAAACAGGGCTAAGGAACAATTTTTAAACTAAATGAAATGTCCTATATGTGGAAAGGAATTCCTGATCTAAATCAGGAGACTACAAGCCATGTTTTATATTGTAAGGTCACATTCTTTAGTGACCACAGAAGAGTTTGGCATACTTTGTAAAATAAAAATAGGGTTACATTATGTTTATATTTCCCAATATAATATGCTTATCTATGGTATTGAAAGAAAAAAGCAAGTGGACAGAGAATTTTACCTGTGCACGCATCTCCTCTACTCTTCCACTGTCAAACGTTATACACATACCACCGTTAAAAACATGGTTTCCAGTTTAGATTCCAGTAAAGTATTTGTTCACCAACAAGTACCCTGCTGTTATCATTAATTCAAAGGTTGCTGTAACTGATTATAATAATAATAGCAGCATGCTAATAATTGTGTCACTCATTGTGTACTTGCGGGCAGTGATACCTAAAATGTATGTTAACACAGAATGAGTATTTTTGGGTTTACTGCTGTATGTGTATTGTTGGTCTTTTGGAGAACCAAAGGTGGGTATGCAAGTTGTATTTAATATATTTGGTACCCCTAAAATTGTTCCCCAGCATCCCCCCCCATTTAAAATGATCTAGATCCACCACTGCAAAGATCACAGATAATATAATATTTCCATAAAGTTACTTGATACTTATTTAGCATACATAATCAAACGATTTAAGACTCTTCCAGGACCTGCAGACGCCCTGTTAATTATATGTCAATTATCTTACAAAGTATGAGTATTAACTGCATGACAAATAGAGGTACTACAGCAGATCTGTTAATGATCCCAGCAGGCCCAGGGGGTAGAGGGGGAAAAGTCATGTATAGCTGCTGACAATGAAACAAGTAACACTACAGTAAGAGTCCTGCCTGACACTCAGAGTAAAGTGGGTGTTGTCGAAGCCGGACAAACAGTAGCTAAGTGTTTAGCTTTCCAATACACGTGGCATTTCATTAAATACCACTTACACACACATGCCGGAGAAACTAACGTGGCCCAACACCCGCCACCTCGATAAGAGCACCGTACCCGAGAGGGGCAAACCACATCGCACTAACTACTGAGATTATGGGATTAAAGCTAACTGGTTAGCCACGGAGCTAGCGCCTCTGAGAAGGGACAGAGAGGAGGAAATGTCTGACAGTGGTTCCTACCTGTTATGTCTTCAACATCCGACACAAACTGGGCTTCTCTCCGCTTACAAACATATTTCTGTGCCCGCTGAGCCAGGTACAGTAAGAGGCAGCGACATATCTTACGTGTCAACTTCGAGGGTATTTGACTGGTTGGCAACTGTGAACCCTGCTGCACCTGACGGGCGCCATTTCCTCCGCCAGGAGTGCAACTTCGTATAGAGGTCAAGGAAACTGCTTCTCATACAATGGTTCCGACTAGCATTTTATTCCTTCCTTCCTTTGGAGACTTCGGCACAACACGAAAAATAATACAATAATAAAAACATATATATTCACTTTATGGCGAAACATTAAATACAGTACCATAATAGATTATAATAGTTACTTCGCAGACCATTAAAATGTGATCTTGATTTAATTTTGAAAAAAATATCAAATAACATCATATTTTTATTTTTTATTTTGTGTTGTTGTTGTTGTTGTTGTTCTTCTTCTTCTTTTTATTATTATTATATTTTAATTATCATTATTACCTTTTTTTCTTTTATTTTCTTTTATGTTTATGAATAATTTTTTCTTTAATATGGTTCTACAAACTTGTGATTTGTCATTTTTTCTAAAGCATAAGAAGCATATTTGAATATATATATATATATATATATATATATTTAATAATTCATTCTGTGTTGTATTTTCAAATATTCAGTAGCCTATATAATAGCCTCTGAAAACCTAGCAATGAAAAGGATTTAATCTGCATAGATCATACTTCATATGTTCATTACAGCTGCAAATAACAACTGTTTTCATTGTCATTAAACTGTTAATTGTTTTCTTGATTCATCAGTTAGTTGTTTGTTCTACAAAATGTCAGAGTATGGTGAAAATGATTGTTTCCTAAAACCTGAGATGATGTCTTCAAATATCTTGCTTGGTCCACAACCCAAAGATACTACTTTACTGACTTTACTGTCATGGAGGAGTAAAGACTCCAGGAAATATTCACATTTAAGAAGCTGGGATCAGAGAATTTTGACTTTTTCTTTCCTTATAGAAATACTCAAACCCATCAATTGATTATAAAATTAGCTGGTGATGAATTTAATAGTTGACAACTAATTAATTAATCATTGCAGCTCTAATGTTCATAGCTAAGTAGGGCCCTGTTTCCACCCATCCAAGCTCTCTGTGAAGACATGAACAAATAATAAAAAAGTGATGAGATAAGAAAAAAATACGATTAAATCTTTCATGAACCAAAACCTGTGCCAGAATGATAGCCCAAGTTCCAATGTCCAACTTCATACAGCCAAAGCTGAACTATAACACCGCCATGTTGCTACCAAATAGTGAACCTATTCAAAATAGCTGATGCATAATGGCACACATATCTAGGCTTTTAATGGAATGACAAGTGCAATTTCTTTCTTTCAACAAATAGAAACTGTCAGAAGATACTAATGAAGAGGTGGTGCAACTGCAACATCCCTGCATGCAGGTACAGTGCAGTTTAATGTAGCAGTGATTTGCCCACACTCCATCTCTAAAAGGGTGGACGTTGCCAACATGAAGCAATATAGCTAGTGTTTTGGATACAGTGATGTATCTCACAACCTGTTATCATTATCAAGCAAACAAGAAATCACTTTATCTCTAAGTCTGGGTAGGTTATAGCTACTGGTTCATAAGTATAAATCTTTGCTGAAAAACATTTTATTTTTTATTTTAATGTGCACAGGAATTTAGGACAAAGACTGCAACCGTGCTTCTTGGCTGCTATAAATTAACTAAAAAAAACACTGGTTTATTATTTCTTGAGAGGTTGATAGGCGCAGGTGGAACTAATATTGTTAAAGATATCTCTATTTCATATACATAAGCCAAACCAAGGAGTCACATGCACAATACCAGAACCCTGGGACTGATATAATGATATGCAGCCACCGCTAATGATATTGATTACACCTGTGCTTCTCTTACAATCACATGTCCAAATGTCTGCTGTCAAAAATGATTACCACTAGTTTATTATAAGCATCAGCTGTGTTGGATCTTTCAGCTTTGATTTGATCTGGTATTCTTAATCATCAGACTAAAAAGGGAAGCTCAAGCAAGATTGTACAGAAAAGCAGCAAAAGATCACACACTGTATTGCTCTGTGCTGACAATATTTTTACACACATAAACATGTTAATGTCATGGTCACACTGTAGGGCACCAGATTGCAGTTACTGTTTTAGGGACCTGATTATGTAAGTGCTTGGGGGATGAGTCCTAAAACCTGGAAATGAGTTTGCATTTTTGCACTCCCAGTTCCCTCTTCACAAAGTCAGAGGGCTTTTTTTGAACGGATTTTAGTCAGATGCCTAAAATAAGGTGTGTGATTAACACAAGCTTAAGAGACTTTGACGTTTTGCTCTGCGACATAAGATATGTCAGTAAATACCTGACTCAAGAAGTCTGAAGCCTTTAAGTTTAAGTTTATTTACTTTATTAATCCCCCTGAGGAGAAATTCAATGTTTTCACTCTTGCTTGTCAATTACACACAGGTCCGAAAGACACACACATGCACAAACAGGACCTATACATGCACAAAGTGGAGAGATGTCAGAGTGAGGGGGCTGCCCTTGGTGAGGCGCCCCGAGCGATTGGGGGATTCGGTGCCTTGCTCAAGGGCACCTCGGCAGTGCCCAGGAGGTGAACTGGCACCTCTCCAGCCACCAGTCCACGCTCCATATTTTTGGTCCAGACGGGGACTCGAGCTGGCCACCCTCCAGTTCCCAACTCAAGTCCCTATGGACTGAGCTACTGCCGCCCCATGTCTTAAAAAAGTAGTTGCTAACAATTGGGTACATGAGACTACAGAATGTCATCACACTGAACACTGCTGTACAGCCTTGTTGTGGTCGCAATGTTGAAGTCATACGACCATGGTGTAGTTCATATATAACCCAGTGTTAGCTTTTCATTTCTGGCGATTGTATTAAGGTCTCAAATCAGTGCACTTTCTGCAAAATCCAGAAAATATTGTCCAGATGCGGCCTATCCACCCTTTACTACAATGATGTAACTATGTAGAAGGCAGTGGTGTGCACAAGGGCTGACTGTCACTCAAGGGCGTAAGTTTTATTTCAACATTGCGGGGAGAAGCACGTATAAAATGGGGTTAAGATGCTCGCCAACATAAAATGTTGAGCGCCAAACTGCAGTCTGGTGAATTTTAATGCACCAATTTGTTCCTTTCTGCATTAATTCATGGTGCAAATGTCTTTAACATGGTCATAACAAAGGCCCTCTACTACTTTTAAGTGTTTATTGAAGGGGGGCGAATGCACATGTGCCACCCTTCTTTAATCTACACCTATGCCGTTTCTTACCCAAGCAGCCCAGAGTTCCCTCTACAACTAGCAGTACTGCAAACTAAATCAACTTTGAAGATGTAATAGATGCTGTTGCTAGAGTTTTGCCTCTTCAGGCTTTTTTACTTCTCCATGCACCTTGGAAGGAGGTGAAGTTGTGCCGGAAATCCCTACTCCACCTCACTAAATCAACTTTGCCATGCCAGTGCAAGCAACCTACAGTATACTCACTGTAGCCCCTGTAATGCCCATGTCATACTTGGAAGTCACAGTGGGAGGAGACACAACTGGAAAGTTTTGTAACTTTACAAAACTCTAAACAGTTAAAAAAAAACTTGCTTTGTTTGATATGATTGCACACTAGACTGGATTTTATTTGGAGCCTTGGGACCTTTAAATTGACTAGATTGGTGACAGAATTATGTGTAGCAATCCTGGGTGATGCCTTTCTGTTTTCTACCCTGCCCTGAAAATGTGTGTGCATGCCACAGTGGGTTAAGCAGAGAAGACCAAACTACTTTTTTTTTCCAGCAGCATTACATAAACCTCAGAAAATCATGTTCAAAATAAGAAGCCATCTGATTCTGCTTTAGCTGAGCTCCGGTGGTTGCAACAAGTGGTTTGATGGACAGAGCGCGTTTGGTTTTCATTAGATCGTCTCGACACTGACCCCCTGCCCCATCTACAGTAATATGAAACCAGCCTTCTGGCAGGCGCACTGTGCGGAAGAGAGCCGAGCAGAGCTGATGCAGTCTGCATTGCTTAACTGCGCTGCTGCACACAGAAGCTGCCCACGTAGTAACACACTGCCCAAACGTGCCATGGCCAAGAGGCAGTGTTCACGGGCATAGATGGTAACCCTGTGCAGTCTTCGCTTGAGGGATTATTAGTGTTTTTGGTTTGTTCCTGGAGGTGTGATATCGCAGCCATGGTGTGCTGTCAGACTCCCAGAAGTTTACGCAGAGGCGAGTGGGGCTTCGCTCCTCTGCTGGCTGCCGCGCTGCTCAGTCTGCTGTTCGCAGGGATGCAACAGTCCACAGCGTTTCCCACCTGGAGGTTAGAGGTATGCTGTGACCACTTCATGATGTGTAGGAACTGTGACTGCAACTGTGAACTCCAATATACTGTCTGGTTTGTAATTATAAAGTTATACAAGTGAGTTGTTTCCTCTATCATTTACAAGAAAAACCAACACCAAACTTCATTCAGAATTCCATGACTTAACATTTGCCCTAAGTTTCCTTGTAGCTAAAATGTACGAAAGCTACGGCTTCAAATTATATTTGATTATTAAACGCCACTTTTCAATTCGGCGTATAGCCTACTTTATTTCATTACACGAGGCAGCACTTCTTTCAAACAGCAACTAATATTTGTGAGTAAATGATTCAGGTATAATCACTGTCTTGCCCTTATACAGTAGCTGTGAACTCAAATGTAGAAATTTGATTTATAGTGAAACAAAGAGATACTTGGTGGATCTTTATACGCCGAATTCACCGTGAGTACATCCAGATTTAAAACCTGCCTTATTATGTATGTACAAGCAGTGTACATTTGACAGTCAGTAAAATGAAATTAAAATCTAACATTTTTAAATGAAGTATGGTCTGGTATCACTTTGAGGTCAGAATTAGAATCAACAGTCAGTGATTTTTCAAAGTAGCCAAGTGTATAGCATCATTCACATAATTTTCTGTCACTGTTCTGAGTCCTGCATTAGAACTGTCCATGCAATTTCAATCATTCCTCCGGTTTCTTAAAATATATCATTAGTTGGACATCATCTCATGAAGTCACTCAGTTATAGCTTATCCATGGCAGTAGGCATCAGATTCAATTAATTTTCACTTGAGGTGGAGAAGTTAGATGAAGACCATAATTACATTAGGCAATGGAATGGATCCCTGTACAGTAATATCTTCAGTCAATTGGATAACTGTGTTCCTCCAGACTGCCACCCACCCACTGTGATACAGAGCCTGAGGGATAGCTTTATGTCATTTCCTTTGCCACACACTCATTATGTGTCAGTCAAGAAGACTGCTGCTGAGGATTACATAACTGCCTTAGATAAGCTTCTCATAGGCCACCAGAATGAATTACAGCAGAAAGAGTCATTAGAGTCTAAATTGGCCAAAATGCAGCCAAAGAGCATTTTTAAATGTGTTTTCTCTTATTTATAGTGAAAATAATGCACTATTTACATGACTCAAAATCATGAGATGTATCAGAACATGCATAAAAACCCCTATTAGCTAACTATATCTCAATAAATAACAGTTTTCTGTTTTATAAACCAGTAATCTACTTATATTCAGAATGTTTTACTTTGTTGAATTATATGCAGAAAATAGCCTTTGCTGAATCTCTCTGAAACTGAGGATGAAAATCGTAATCCCTGTTGTAACGGTCTCTGGGACTGAGGTTCAACCACCAGACTCCCCCCAGGATCATCTGGGATTTGTCCTCAGATCTTTTGCCCTCCGAGTCAGCGCTCACCACTTGCCTCAAGGTTTAGTCTAGCGCGTTAGTTTCGGCCCTCACGGTTTATGGCTCATCTCTATTTGTGCCAAAGTGTGAGATTAGATTTGCAGTGACTATAACAAGGCACGACACTGGATGAACCGCGCTGGCCTTACTACATTAAACACCTCATAAATCACAGAACACAAGACTCCAGTGTGTTAACTTGGGTCAGGAAAGCAACTGTTCATAAAACAATGAGCAGTGTGTCTAATGCAATACAGAAACATTATATTTAACATCAGAGCGAGAGGGGCCGTCAAGTTCAACAGCAGTGTGGGACAGCCTGCCAGACTGGCTGCCCCCGTTTCACTATTTTGGTACGGAAATGAAGGAAGTACTGCATCTATTAGTCTTGACTGGGCGAAGCAGGAACAGGAACCAGAGGATAGGGTGTAGAATACAAAGTGAAAGGAGTGTCTTTGATGTTTGTGCTCCATCTTCAGCACTTTACCCCAGTGAGAAAACATGTGCTGGAGCACATGTTGCATATTTGAATTATTTTTATCGTCTGAGGAAGTAAAATGATCATATTCACAAGAAAAAGGGAAATATTTGAGAAAAGTCAGCAAAATTTTTATGATTTTGTGCAGCAGAAAAAAAGTTTTTATTGCTTTCCTGTTCATCATCTTGTGATCCCTTGACCCTGAGATCGGGGACTACACTACACTGCAATGATTTTTCAATCTACTGTGTATTAATCATAGTATAATAGGATTGTATACATCATTAGGGCCTCGGTATGCTTTAAATGAACTAGTTCTAACCATGTGTTGTCTGACCGTGTTTACAGCTGTTCTGAATGGACACACTGAAAAGAATATCTCACCTGCAAATTAACCATTTGTGTAACAGTTACTCACCATGTGTTACCTTGTGTTCACAAAGAAGACTGTGATTGTCTTGCGTGCCTCCACGGTGAACGGAGAATCCAAAAAAGGTGAAGATTCTTCATTAATTAAAGCCACTAGGGGCAAAGTTTAACAACAGCAAAACTCTCACACACCTCAACTCCAAGTCTTATTTATCCAGCTGTATGCTCTTTCCAAACACGCATTTTCCACGGATGCATAAAGAGAACTGGATACAGCGTTGGAGGTGGGGCTCCTGTTCATTCCTATGAAAGTTGCTCAGTGTAAAATGAAGCCAAAAAACCTCTCTTTCCGCGGCACGAAATTACCCAGATCTTCCACATTGTGGGGCCCACAGAGCAAGCGCACTAGTGACTTTCGCTAGCTGAGCAGCTAACTTCCGGTTTAGCGCTCCACTGACTTGAATGGGGATAGAATTATTTTATCGCACAGCTCTTCGAAACTTTCCAAATGTTATCAGACTGAATGGATCAAATAGTGAAAAGTGCCATTTTGCATGTGTTGTGACAAAAATGTTTCCACTGATATACGGACGTCTTTTTCACAATGTCAGTCTATGGGAAAAAGTCTTTCTGGGCCCCTTGCCATCATGTGATGGACCCAAAAGTTGTAATTCCACATTTTGCCTCTATGTAAAACTGGTTTCAAAGCCTGGTGCTGTTTTTTCTGGGGGCTTGACATTTTCGCTAAAATGTTACAATATAAAATACTTCCATCTACAAGTAGTGTGTCCTGAGCGTGACTGACTACGTGTGTATAAGCTCTGCTTGAGCAGATTTTAAATGCACACGTGGGCCCAGGCATGCAACTCGACCGTGCATGAAACTGTAGCTATATACTGATGTGATTTAAATCAGAAAGTTTTGCAAAAATGCATGTGTTAAGAAAGTACTTAGCATACAACTGGATAAATGAGACTTGGATTATATTGCACGAGTTGTGTGTGAGTTCGTTACAGTTGTTTTGATATAGTTTTGCTGTTGTTAAATGTGAATCGTGATTACTTAAATTCCTGAATATTGTTCGCCTGTTCTGGATTCTCTGCTCACTGTGGAGGCATGTGAGAAAAACAAAGTTTTCTTCACGAATTCAAGATAACAAGTGAGTATCTGATAAACAAATGGTCTTTTTCCAGGCGAAGCACTCCTTTAAGGCTGCAAAAAGCCAGCTGTCATAGAGACAAGTGAGACGCGATGAATCACACAGATGGGGATAATGGTCCACACTTTCTAACAGTTTCTCCTCGAATGAATTCACAGTGTTGTGCACTCACGTAAAAGTGTCGGCAGTAGTTGTGTGAAAAATGAAAAAATAACTTGCAACAACCTGCTTTCACACCTCCACACACCTGGACAAACACTTATAAAGTAGGTGTGTTTGTTGGATTGTCTGCTCTGGAAGAACTTCAGATTCTGAAAGGACATTCCCAACAGTGACAAGAGCTTAGTCTGAAGCATATAGAAGCCTTTACACTTCCTGCTGCAACCTGTATGTTGTTGGCAGGCTCTCTTCATCCCCTCACATCTTGCACCTGATTTACAGTATTTACAGTTGTCAGTCTCCAAGCGCATACTTAAGGTTAGAATATGTAAAATGGCCCTTTGTAAAGAAACCAAGATCCAAGATACATGAGCAGTTGTATGTGGCTTCAGCAGTTTTTCAGTTTTAATGCACGTCTCCTTAAATCCTTTTTAAATTTATCTGTTGGGACGGGAAGCCTTCCTGCTCTCAAGCACAGAAAGGGCTCCTTGTGTCTGAATCACAGCCCAACTTCAACTGTTGGAGAGTGGATTTATTACTTAAACCCATCTTCATAAAAAGTTATAGATCTTATCAACTGGTGCGATCGCTGTTATGGAATATTGCAGCCAAGGCAAACCACAACCTCACTTCAGTTACAGAATATTTATGAAAGTGCTAAAATGCAAAGCACCCATAGACAGCCTTTCAAAGCTATAAAAAATATGGTAGGATCCAGGTTTGATGATTTGGAGTCGATGTTGCTCATTCCCAAAGGGGCATCACATCCAGCCTCATACTTTATGTTTGGAAAACACTTTTACTGCTGACCACTTCCCATTTCCACGAGATGGAATGTCCTCGCATGAATATCTAATACGTAACATTCAGATGCAAGACACTGACAAACAGCAACTGAATAGAGTTGTAGCTGTCAAGATTACAGATTACAAGATTACTTCAAAAGTCAAACCCTTTCAGGGGCTTGTAGTAGTATAGGCATTTGTATGACAAATAAAACAATTTATCTCACCAAATTCTTTTGGAAGTTTAAAGCTGGGTAGGCAGTCTAATATTGGCATCAACCTTTGCGCACACTGTAATTCCAGTTAATAAGAGAAACCTCGGCACCTTCTCTTGGCTCTGCTCTCAGGCTTTTGTAGCCAGTAACTGGAGACTTTGGCCAATCAAAGGTCATTTCAGAGAACGGGCATTACTATTGGCTATTCTACAACACACCTGCAAGTGCTCATCCCCTCGGTGAAAGCCTAATTCCATGGTTGACAATCCTGCAGAGATGGTGTCTATTTCAGCACTGGTTACAACTGCCTTCACTGCAAAGGGATACAAAAAACAAAGATGGATTTATCGAAAAGAGAGTCTGACAATAAATGAAAGAAAACACATGTCAATATCTGCAAAGCATTTCAGAGCTGGAGAGAAAATGTTGCTAATAATTTAGCCTTCTGATAACCGTAGCTAAAGGCTCATGGCCATGGCTTCAATTTCCCGTTTATGTAGCTAACATTAGCTAGAGCCTCGAATCACAGTATTCTCCGCCTCACTCCCCACTGCTACAGGCCACTTCACCGAGAGGAGAGCAGGCAGCACTGGTGGACCAGTCAGCCATGACTCTGTTGCTGCCAGGTTAGACCCGGTGCTGCCGCTGGCTACCAGTCCGCTGACCACTGAGGTTGCTACAGTCGCTGACCAAAGTCTGTCCCTGGAATTGGCGGAGGGACAGCGGGGTGTGGTAGCTAGCTAATTCTTGTCTTATATGTGGTCTGATAAACAGAAAGAGAGCTTTACAGTAAAATACAATAAGCCATGGGAAACACTGGGTTACTGTATGAAGTGCGTAGATATGCCCTTGCTCTTGTGGTGAGTGGGGCTTAGGACAGAGAGGGAAGAGCTGTAGGTGGTTTCCAGAAAACTGCCACCCCCAGCTTTAATCCACGCTGACCCATTAATATCTTCAGAGGGTCCAGTTCCTAACTTCACTTCAGTGTGCGGTGATTAATTGAAGGTTTTTCTTTGTCCAAGGAAGAAGCTTACACCACTGTGTTGCTCATCGGGATCCGCAAAGAGGCCCGGTCACAGGTGCTCCACCTCTCCAGGAACAAGCGCTACACCCTCACCCCAGAGAATCTCAAATGGGACAAGTTCAAGCTAACATACAAGTATTTATTTGCATTTCTTCCTCTAGGCGACAGTAAAGTACATTTGTAAAAAAGAAAGAAAAAAAAAAGAAGAAGAAGAAGATAAAAGGAAACAGATGAAAAACACCAGTCAGCATTAGACTGGTGTTGATCTTGGCAGGAAAACATGAGCACAGATCGTTTTCAGTTGATGTGGGCATTGGCAAATGAAATCAGATGCTGATTGGTGTGGATAAGCAGCACCTTCATGGAATTGTTTACCCCAAATTGAAGAGCTAGTCAATATCACATACAACTGAAGGTTGTAGGACCAATTGAAGTTACTTGCAGAACTCTCTGCTTGCATTTGGTAGGGCAGAAAATAAAAGAAGTATATGATGGACACTTTTGCACCCACACTGCAATCGCTTGGATATACATTTGGACTAACTTTTTGGAGAAGACCCAGTGACACTTTGTTCTCTCCAGAGCTGTAAAAAGATGATCACAGAAAGTCCTTTTGGATGTAACAAGAGAGAGAGAAGTTGCAACCACTGGGTTTTGGCGAACAAACAAAAAAGTGAGCCAAATTTCAGTCGTTCCTGAATTCGTCAAATAATACCTTCATCTGTTTCATGTTGACAGTGGATGTTACCAGCTGATCACTATCTGATTCTTATTAAAATGATCTATATCAGTCTAACCCTAGTTGAGATATAAGAGAATATCAAGTAATGGAGCTGTACTCGCAGTGCTTGTGGGAATTCTGTCTGAACAGTAGCCATTGTGTTTTGGCAGATTCCTCTGCTGTAGAATAATGTGTGTAGAGAGCAGTATTAACTACATAATGCTGTTGTTTCTGAGCAGGTTGGTCTCCTTCCCTACAAACCTCATAAATGCCAGTGACACACGCCGAGGCATCGCCAAGGCTTTTAGCATGTGGAGCGACGTCTCGCCGTTCAGCTTCAGAGAAGTGCCAGCTGACCAAGAAGCAGACATGAAGATCGGTGGGTACTCTGCATGTGGCTGCATCAATCCCCAACAGATGTTCCTTGGCTCCGAACTCCAGACTTCTGCTCTGTCATTACTGTTTTTCTCTCCGTGCTGTCATCGCAGAAATGTCTTCGCCTCCAAACGTATTAAATCACACCACCGCGACTATATTACCAAGATTATATTCAGCATGATTCATAATTCTCAAAGAAAAAAAATAATGCTTAACAACTTCCATACATGTCAGCTCATGGTGAAGCAGTCTAAATTATGCTTTATCTGTCCCTTTGGGTGCAAACTCCAGGGTCCTGCATAAATTCTCAGTGACAGTGAGAGGAATGGTTGTCATCCTGCGGGGTGAAGGCTGAAGAAAAAGCTCTGTCTTTTGTGATTCACCATCTCCCTGCTGTTGTCTACGCAGAGCACAAATAACGGAGTGAGGGTTTCCCTTCTCGGTTCTGAGGTATGTCTCTCTTTCTCTCTCTCTGTCTTGGCAGGCTTCTACCCCGCCAACCACACAGACTGTCTGCAGTCCTATTTGCACCATTGTTTCGACGGCATCACAGGAGAATTGGCTCATGCATTCTTCCCGCCAACTGGCGAGATCCACTTCGACGACCATGAATACTGGATTCTGGGAAACATGCGCTTTAGCTGGAAGAAAGGCATGTGTCTTTATCATGTTTGTTGAAACTGCTAATATTTAACCCATAAGGTGATGGATGCAGCAGACGCTGAGCTGGACGGCTCGTGGAGTGCACGGCAGCTGAAAGAGAAAATAATCGACTGTATCTATGTTGCAGGGGTTTGGCTGACAGATCTTGTCCATGTGGCAACTCATGAAATTGGCCACGTCCTAGGACTCATGCACTCCATGGACCCGAAAGCTATAATGCACCTGAATGCAACTCTGACAGGGCGCAAGCTAATCACTCAGGACGAGGTGTGGGGTTTGCATCGTCTCTACGGTATGTACTCAGTCCTTCTTACTTTTCTATCAGAACACAATGTGGAAAGCTCTTCTTTTGGGCTTTGACAATTGTAAATACATCTGACAATGTTGAGAGTCATCCAGGACACAGGATGTCCAGAAGCAGTAAGTCAAAGGCTAATGGACTTATTTGGTCTTGAAGACATCTTGCAATTCATCCAAGCGGTGAACCACTCAAGCTTGATGAATGAATGGAAAACATCCTCAAGACCTAAACAGCAAATCCAGTTGTCATGCGGGGATCAGACTACATAATAGGCCTGATGACCCGACCTGACAGACGTAGGGTGTCAGGAATGAAAAGAGTTGTCTGTCATAGCGGGAGACGACTGGCGCAGTGTCTGAGAAGCCTTGAGGCAGTTTGACAACTTCGTCATTGGTGTTCAGTGTTTAAAAAGCCAAAGCTAAAGAGGAATAATCTTGGTGCTGCCTAGTCGAACAGTAAAAATGGTCCCTGGCAACACCTTCCCAATCACCTGCACATCAAAAAAAGATGGCAGGGTATGATCGGCCAAGTCAGGGCAAGAATTCAAGAACTTAAGTGATGGCTTCACCTGATTAAGTGACCATGTCCAAAGGCAAAAATATTGTGCGGTCTAATTCCAGCATTAGAAGAATTACGTCTAGATACACTTATGAAGAGCCAGCTGTAAAAAACCTATAATCCGTTTTTGGCCACAATCAACCAGAAAGTAGACCACAGTGGTTGTCTTTGAACGTGGCATTAATGAATGATGTATAAACTACTCATGACTCATCATTAGCGTGTATTACGGTGAGTCATTTTCATTGGAAGAAAAAGGAGATCAGAGATCCAAATTCTTTTGCTGCTGACTTGTCTGATCCTCCTCCTCACTCCATCTCCCCCTCTCCTCCAGGATGTTTGGACCGGTTATTCATCTGTCCGGCCTGGGCTCGGAAAGGCTATTGCGACAGCAAGCGTAAGCTGATGCAGAAGCACTGCCCCTCCAGCTGTGATTTCTGTTACGGTAAGACGCAGCAGTAGAAAGCAGCAGCAGTTCCAGGGGGAGGAAAAAAAAAAGTTTTCTCTCAATTGAGCAGCGTAAGGAGCTGCTGTGAACCGTTTGCCAATGGAGCAACGGGAGCCAACAGGTCCAGCCATGCAGAGCAGCGATGGGGGTTTTCAAGCATCTGATTTGAAGGGAGATTACACTTGCCACTGGAGGAGTCTGTGTGTAGTCCTGGAGAATACTAGCGTCCCCAGGGAGGAAATGTGTGATTCAGCCCAGAACACTAACAGAGCTGAGCATGTACCTGTTGATAGCTGTCTTCACACTAAGTATTGATGACACATCAGCAATCTGACAGCCTAAGTCACTTTAGATTTATCGTGGGATGCGCTGGTGCTCAGGTCTGCTGTTGCACAACAGGAAATGGCTCCTCTTAAGCATCACAGCCCATAGATTGTTGTGGCTTTCTGAGATTTTTGTCAGCAACAAGGGACAGTGTGGAGAGAGGCAAGAGGATACGATTCCTGGCTCGCAATAATCTGTTCCTCATTGTTGATTGGGAGACGTTGTACGGCTGTGGAAAATTCCTGAGTGACTCCAAACCGCTGGAATTTCAGACTGTGGCTTGAGGGTTAGAGACACACAAGGTCAATTTGGATTTTTGCGGCATTAACGAGAGCGACTGTTTTTTAAGCAGACTTTGAGTTGATCACAAGGCGGCCTGTTGTGTTTGTCAGAAACCAGATGGGAGAGATTATATTGATAAGACAGCCGCGGCGCCGGCAGGTCAGGGGTTGTGAAAAGCGTATTAAGTGTCTGACGTGATAAGGTTTGTATCAAAAATTGCGACGGTAATCAGAGTTTCAGCGAGGGAAAGTTGTAACATCTCCAGACTGTGAAGTACACTGAGGTGTAGGATGACCGTTTGTTCTTCTTCATTGCTCTCAGATGGTTGTTGTACGGTCATGATCATTTTAGGATCATTAAGGATCCTTGCGTGTCTTATTTTGGAACATCATTCTAAGTGTTTTTCTTTAATCCTCTTCAGAATTTCCTTTCCCCACTGTGGCTCCTACCCCGACACCCCCGAGGACCAAACACAAGCTGGTCGTCGAGGGCAAGAAGCTCACTTTTCGTTGCGGGAAGAAAATAGCATCAAAGAAAGGCAAAGTATAGTGAGTACCTCTCTTTAATCAGTCCACCTAATTGCAGTGACGCTACAGTACAATTTCACTGAACGTCTGACTCCTGTTTCAGCTGGTACAAGGACGGGGAGCTGCTGGAGTACTCTCACCCCAACTACATCTCCTTGAAAGACGACCACATCACTATAGTGGCCAACGCCATCAACGAAGGCACATACACCTGCATCGTGAAGAAAAAAGACAAAGTTCTAACAAACTACTCATGGAGAGTGCGTGTGCGCTTCTGAGGGCCTCTGCACACTGAACAGGACACATAAACTCACACGGTCACATGGAGACCTCATTCACTAGGGCACATATTTCTGTTTTTTAAACTGTCTTTCCTGTATCTTCCAAATACGACTGTCTATCCTTGTCATTGTGTACGTGCGTTTTAATAAATGTTCCGTGACAAGTAGAATTCTAGTGAAAATACCACCTGACTGTGAAAAGATGTTCATGACAGAGGTTGTGGTTTCCATTTTATTTGGTGATGAAAGATCCTTAAGTTTAGGACAATAACTTATACTCTGGGTTCATCGAGCCTGGATTTCTTCAAAGCTTTTGCTGCTAAAGAAGTGATGGTCCAAGGTCGCCCACGGGTTCCTGGGGTGCTAAAATTGCCAAGTTGGAGGGTGCATAGGAGTATCTTCTCAGATACAGTCAAATTGTCCTCCACTCTAGGTGCAGCAGAAAAAGGCTCATCCAAAAAAAAACACCATCCCTACTGTGCTTTTGTTGGGGGCCTAAAAAGTTACAGAAGCTCTTGCTTCGATACACGCCGTTTTAGTCATTTACGCACTGACCAATCTAAACTACTAAAGCCAGAATAAGCAATGTTGTCTACAGCCTTTGGAACTATTTGGACCTTAAACCACATATGGAACACCTCAGACGTCTAGCTTACTTTACTAGCCTCACATTGAAGCCAGCAGTCTGCCTCCAGAGACCCAGCAGTCAGTTCCACTAGCAGCTCTCCTTCCAAGCTTATTCAACACATCAGGTGTAATAATCTGCAGAAGGGCTCCGGTGGGGGTGGGGGGGATAGATAAAACTGATTAATGAACATTTCCATTTAGTGCTGGCTCAAGACGTCCCAAGACGAGGGTGATTTTCTTTTCTGTGCCTGTTCCTATGAAAGCAGCGAGCGGTCTTGCAGGGAACGAAACGTTACTGTACTGTTTATTTTTCTTCGGCTCAAAATCAAAGAATTTATTGGTTTAATTCTGAAGTCGCAGAGCCATTTAAATACAAAGGCAAAGCGAAGTCTGGGCCTCTTTTCCCCTGAAAGAACAAAGTACTGAGACAAAGTGTGCAGTGCAAAGAATGACATCACTTTTGGACAGCGACTACCAAGTTGGGTTCAAGACTGGATTGTTTTTTTTTTAGCCTCGACTTCCCTTCATTTTTTTTTCTCCTCTGGCAGTGTGCGGTTGTGTTTGCATAGCTTGGACAGAGTTTATAAATATAGGGAAAACGGCAGACAAAACAAAGTTTCAAACTTTATTTCTAGCAAAAACATTGTCCCCCTGTCATCGAGTGACATTGACAGTCCTAAGTGAATTTCTAACATAACGCTGGATGGAAAACACAGCCAATGCTGCATCATTATACAGTAGCTCAGGCAGCCAGGAAATACCAACCATTTAGAAAATCTGGTCCTCTCTCATGAAGTAGAAAAGGGAAAATAAAACAAAAGTCAAACATGAGAGCTAAATTTCTAACAGATGTATGGTCGTGTCTCCTCTTTAAGAGCTAAAATGGCCACATTTAATACGGTGAGATGGCTTAAAAATTAGGAGGAAAAGCTGCAAAGTCGAAGCGAAAATTCTGGAGAGTCAACATGTTGAGCCACCAGTCTTGCTGTGAGACAGTCCTGACTATATGGTAACACTTGTAATTGATCAGATATTGACCTGGTTTACAGCTGTAAACCAGTGACACTGTCCAATTCCAGAAGAACAAGTCCCAGAACTCTTTGCTCCCGCTTTTAGACAGCCAGGCATCCTGCAGTTCGGGGCTCAGAATTTGAGGCTGAATCCTGGACCGACTGCAGACGCTCCCTGGTTGCTGGTTGTCAGGTGGAAGCCTGTGTCTCTTAGGTCGTCATCGCCCTGGAGAGATTATGCAAACAAAGTTAACTTATGGTTAATGACTGCAGTCAGTTTAATCATTTGTGATTAAATGCAGTTTTATTGCCCATATATTTATTACAGAACTGATTCACACTACACTGGTAACCTTTGGAAACCCCTTAACCTGAAAAATTCCAATGAGGCATTTAGATTGTATTCCACACAAATATGCATGAACATGTTTATTCATATTATTATAGTTATTACTTTCCTGGGTTTCAGTGGAGTTTTAATGTCCCAAAGTCTGTTTCACAAGATTTTCCACTTTGGTAAGAATAAAACTGACATGAACAACTGATACTTTTGGCATGAAATGGTCTAATTTCTCAGTAAGGCAGCAAAAATCAACACTAACTACCACTGAAAAACATCAGTATCCGCCGTAAGCTTCTGGGTGGGTAGGACCACTGCTGAAAACATTAGGGACTAAAGGGTGCTCATCATGGAAAACACAAGGAGGAAATACCCGGACACAAAGCAGAAGCCTGTAGGTCTGTAATCTATTTAACACAGACAGCGTTCGGAAAGCCTGGTAGCTGTATGTAATGGAGAAAGTGGAGCCTAATGTCCTTACCAGGTGACTGTAGCCCAGGCCTCCCTCGGGTGGACGAGGACTGGTGCCTCTCTTCACCCTCTGTTGCTCACTCTTGGCCGGCCAGGTGGGGAACATGGACGGGTCGATGGGCAACGGTGTCTCACGGAAGTACTCGTGCTTGAGCCCTTCGTCCGATAAAATCCTCTTACTGGGGCAGTAGGTGAGGAATCTGCAAAACAGATGATGGCTGAATTTATATGGAGATGCTCATGCACTTTCAGCGATATGTTATTAAAGAAGCACAGGTAACCACGCAGCTTGGATTGTCGTGTGGGCTTTAATTCTTTAGACAGAGACGTCTGTGTGTAGAGTGATCAATTCCGAAACCTTATTTTTAAACTTTTTTGGGTTAAAAAAAAAAAAAAAAAAAAAAAAAGGTCATCTGGGTCAGATCCCTGGGTGGCTGCTCTCATCTCCAATTTTTTCCACAATTCAAATAAGTTTTTCTAACCAATCAGGGCTTTAAAGGAGGGATTAAGGAGAGGCGAAGTCCCTCCACTTCAGGTGGACCACTGTGGGACCTTATATCAGAAAAAATATGTAGATTAGAGAGAAATAATTTTCTGATCCCATCTAAATTGTGCCATGAATTACACCTATAAAGTTTGTCATTTTAAAGATAGTTTTGCATGTCAAAAAAGTCGCTGTTTGTCGTAACATCATACCTTTCTCTCTGACTAAAGCTGTGATGCCTGTGTGTTTTTTAATGGGATGTATTCACACAAGCAACTGCTCTTGCTTATTCTTTTGCTCTCTAGCTGATACAAAAGACCAGGAGTTGTTGGATAAAACCCATCAGGTAAGATATGATATAGTTAACTAAGAGGTTTCAAACAAAACTTAACAGTAACACAACAAACTGCAACTCTTGACTAAAAAAAATGTTTTAAATTAACAAACATCATCGTGTGTACTTCATGGTACACTACAAGTAGGATCAAAAAGTTATTTGTTGCTGTGGTCCCATGGGGGACACTAAAAGGGGAAGGTACGCCTCATGCCTCTCTACGATGGCATCACCTTTCTGCTCTGGAGTCAGAAAAATAGTGACTACAAAATGGCCAAAAAAAGATGCGAGCAGAGATGATGCTGACAAAGCTGCTTCTATGTCGACAAAAAAGGATGTTACCAAGACAGATGTTCTGCCCCCTGATGGTTCTGACTGATGGGAAACTTTTGAGGACATTTGAAGGCTGAAAATGCACCAGCTGAGTTTTAATTTAGTTTAATAGGACGTAATTGCAGGCAGAGTATCCTCGCCTCCATGTGCAGAAATCCCCATACAGGCCTAGTGGTGTAACTTTAAATCAGCTGTATTAACTAAACACTTAGGCAGACAATCTGGACACAAGATACAGGCCTGACATGAGGGGCCAGTGGGTTTGTGCAAGGAGTCCTAATTGGTTACGACAGGATCAACACAGCATAATGGGGAGCTGCTCATTGTGATAATTGGCTTTCTAGCTGTGTCTGATTAGAATCTTCCATGTGTGAGCAGGGGCAGTGCGGTAAATGATTAAAACCAGCCTGAAATTACTGAAAAAAAAAAAATCTGTCTTTGTTTTTCAGCGGGAGGAATCCCTGAGATGGGTAACTGGCTGGGACTGGACTACTACCTGCTTTCTGACACATGGGGCCAATACTGGTACTGGAAGGGACAATCATCCACTTGCATCAACATCATTGTTTTTGTTTTGGAATTCCAAAAATGTGCGCTCTTCCTGCACCTGTGAACTTCCTCTTCCTCAGCACCCCCAGGACCTAAGAGCCCTGCTGGTTTTAATTCAAGCCATAAAGATTTGTTTATAGCTGGGATATGAACCAGCAGTCGTCTAGGTCTTGAGGCCCAGGATATTATCTGGCTGTACATATTATGGCACTTCCCATAGTAAAGTAGTGAATAGAGCAAGTTCAAAAATCCCTTCTCAGGTTGGATGCGAAAGGCTCCAATCCTAAAACACTTTACTACACAGGGGGTGTGACATTCTAACCACTCTGTGATGTCGACCTGCCAAACTACACCTCTGAACTTTTCCTACGCTGCTCTGTCTCAAGCCTTCCAAACCGCACTTCTCTACGTGTTGACCTCCTGAGGTCTGAATCTGTCCCTGGGTAAACGCCTTGTGAGTCTTCTGACAGCTGGAAGGTTTCAGCTGCACTGGACAGGTGCCAAACTTCCACTGAACTGTGATCCCTCCACAGTGGACATGCTGTTGCCATCCTCTGCAGCTGTGAGGTAACCCAGCAGTATGGTTTTCATTTACAGGTGTACGCAAAAGGCTCTGTGGGTGGGTGAGGATCTGAGAGGAGAGCTGAAAAGCTCGCCTCTGCTCTTTGCAGCTGCTAAACAATGCTGATCTTCGGAATGTGCACCGGAGAATTATGAAGCCATTACTCCCTGTGTGAAAATGATTTTCCGTATTAAATGTGTGTTTTGTAAAACATTTTCCTGTAGTGTGGAGCATCACCATGGTGAGCGTGTGTGTGTGAAACGGAACAAGGGGATGGAACGAGACTGCTGCTGAGGCATGTTGATGAATTACCACTCCGCTACCGTTGTCATGTTTTAAGTCGGCTTGCCAGAAATGCACTGACTGAATAAAAAGAGCTGGAAAGAGTAACAGAACTTGACAGGGTAGCAATGGGTTCATCCAAGTAAGGCAATTTCCACTGTAGGAGTCATGCTGATTGTTACTGATTAGT